ATTCCATTTAAACACAAAATATGAAAGACCAGTTTAAAGATCTTAACTAGATTTTTTTTGTCTGTTTTACAGTGACATAAATTAATTGGCTTCGGAATAATTGTTATTGATATTCATCAACATAAGTTAAAGGAGACTCTGGACTTCGTAGAAAATCTGGGTGTTGCTTTGTTTTTTAATTTTAGCTTGTTACAAAGAAAGGGAAAAGGTTCTCATAGAATGGAAATTATGAGCAGTGTGGATTTTCAGGCAATCAAAACATTTTCATGATCTCATTAAATGTATCATTTACAACACCTATATATTAAAAGAAATATGTTCCTTTGGGTTAGTAGAAGCACTGGGTACACAATGTGTTTGAACATGTTAGGCTTCCACTAGAATCTATGCCAGAACTGTAGAAACTTGGAGGGGAAAAAAAAAGCTACAACCTTTCTCTCTTCAGAGACAGAAACCTTTTATCATATTTTATGTAAAATGAAGAAAAAGGTCTTATAGCAACTTAATAGAATGTGCTAGGACTGTGTCTCAGATAAGTACTGCTATTAAATTCTCTCAGACTGATTGTAATTCTATAATATTACTTGTATTAATAATGAATTTTCTTATGCATGAAACAACTAGTGTTTTACAGTCTTCCTAAGACCACAATTTTGTCATCAGTTGGGTTTTGTATGTAGTCTTGAGAGCCCGGAAAATGAGGGTTCTTGAAATGAAACAGACACTACAGTAGTGGCTCTTAAAGCTTCTTCATTCATTTGGCTGTCTCTTCTAAACGACAGATTCCAGAGAAAAATACCTACTTCAAACAGCCAGTTTCCCAATGATACACAAACGGTGAAACTCCAGTGCTGATAAAAGAAATGGGGTACTGGTGTATAGGCCAAGATTTTGTTTTTGTCTTGGGGCATCCAGCTTTGGAACTGTAGGTGCATTTAGACTGTGTCCCTGAAGCAGTAATTTTAAATATGTGTTAATGAGAGATGTGTACAGCTTTCAAAGCTGCATCTTTACCAGAGGTAGACAGCATCCTTCTCGACAGGATGAGCTGTTTCCCACCCTTAGCCAGGCAGCGCAGTGGGTGACAGGCCTGGGCTGGAGAGCCAAAGCTATTGCATTATACCTCTGCTATTCCTTTTTTATTGTAGTATTGTTCCTGTAGTGGTTTGCTGACAAGTTTTATGTTTTACAGATCAGGTCTGCTTGATGAGGAATCCTTGCTTTAAATCCTGTCCAGGAAAAGTCGGGTTTGTAAATCAGACCTTATGGTTCCTATTGGAATGCTAATGATCTCAAAGGGAGAGCTTAGGTTTTGAAAACAAGTCTAAGCCAATGGCCAGGGTTCCTGAAAGAGCTGTTAATATCATGAAAACTCATGTTTAAGGCCTCTTTTAAAATGTAAAAACTTGTCAGACACTGCTGCAGTAGGGCTGTTTGCAACAGCTGTAATGTGCTGACACACCAAAGCATCCTTTGCTCCATCTGGCCACATCTCTTCTGCTGCTGTGCAGCGGTTCCAGTGCTGCCAATAGCAGTGCAAACCAGAGCATAATGTGGCCCATCGTGGTTTGGATGTATTCGCTGTACAGATAACTATGCAAGGCGGTTAGCCCATCATGCTTGGCCCTCGAACCTTCTCTTGGTTACTGTAAGATAGTGAGCTCCCAGACCAATGCTGCCCTCACACATTTTAAAAAAGTCTTCCAAAAAGTCAAAATACATCAACCATTTAATAGAGTTTTGAACACTCCACGTTCATTCATAGTAGGTGTGAGCAGTGAAGCATGTTTTACAAAATCTCTTTGAACTGAGGAAGCAGCGTGGAGCCAGACACAAATGTGGGATTCTGACATCTCTCTTCCCCACCAATCCAAGTTAGTTTCTGTTGCTACCACCAACACAATTCCAGGTGAATTAGTAGGGATGGTGTAGTAAACTAGGCCTTATTCAGCTGTGATAACCGGTGACATTTTAACAGCTGCATCATCTTGATCATGAAAATCAATATAAAGGGTGAAGTGGTTAACACACCAGCAGCTTTGTTGATACTCTTCCTGGCACTGGCTGGCCATTCCGTGGAGGAAAATGCACTTAAAGGTTCAACATTAGCAAGTCCTCACCACCTCCTGAGGAAGAAGGAAGCTAACCATTTCTGTGCCTCAAAAGGTACTTTGCATTCAGTTATATAAAGATGTCTGTAGCACTCCGCCTAGAACCTTATAGATAGAATCAATCCTGAGGAAAGAGACATTACGTCTGCCAAATTTCAGGCCAAAGCAAGATTTTATAGCCCGATTGCAAACCCCTAGGACGGGGCTTTTTAATGGAAATGCTGACAAAGCCTTAACTATTTTGTATGACTCCAGCGGGCACCAGCTTTAATTCCAATTGTGATGTGCATTTAATGGCATGGGATCAAACATAGCGTAATTGGGATATTTTAAGATACTGTGTTTGAAGAGGATCAGTATTTGAGCATTTTTTATGAACCCTATCATTTAAGTGCTTCTTAAATGTGCCATTCAGTGCTGGGGTGCATGAAAAAAAATCCTAATCACATTTCTCAGAATGAACCGTAGCATTCAGTAGTAGTTTTCTTCCACAGCTTTAATGCTGAAGCACTTCCAAAAAGAGAGTTGGTATTATTTGGTGGAACCCTTACTGGAATATTTCTGGAAAATAAAAGTTTTCATTTTTCATTGTGGTGCTCTCTAGTTCTTCACTTCAGCCTTTTGAGTAATATTTTGATTTTGCTTGGAGAATATCACAAAGATAGTTTCTCTCCAGTTAACTGTGATTCTGCGAGAAGACAGCAGTTATTAGTATTTGCTGTGTTGTGCTAGAGAAATCAGCTTTTTCTTGTGCAGTATCTTTCGTATATTTAAAGTTAAGTTAATAGCATAAAAGTTCTCTCTCTCACATAACCTAATACGCTTTTTATTTTTTCGTGCTGAAGAAGTGGTTGCTCCAAAATGGAAATTGACATTCATTAGTCATTTAGGTTGACAGTAAAACTTGCTTTAATGCAGATGGTGAGTAGAACTCTCACTGCTTTTGCTGTGAATAGGAATGTAGTGTTGAAAGAATTCAGTTTTGCTTATTACTCATTTGCAGTCTGGAACAAAAAGCCATATACTTTATCCTAGAAAAAGAGCTGTTCCTTCAACTGTTATTTACTGAATCATAATGCTAACTGAAATTATTTCCTTGGAGAAGGTTAGGAAGTTTCAGAGCTAATCGTAATAAATTTTTGTAATAATTTGAATCTGTTTTTACTTAATTAGCAATAACCTGTGTGAAGGTCTCAAAGGACTTTGATAAGGTAAAAATTGAAACAATCTTTGGAGAGATACCAGTCTGACAAAGCCAAAGACATTTTGTCACTGGTTTCTGTTAAGCCAGACCTCCACTCCTGCTGCAAGTCTGTCCAGCCAGGAACAGGAGAACCATAGTACTTTGTTTTCAGAAGTTGCAATAGCAGAGTTGGTCTGTGTTGGTCCTGTGCAATTTGAGAGAAACTTTGCTTTTAAAAAGGCTCTGGAGTATATTTTATTTCTGAAAGTTTGCAAATCATGCTGTTTAGGAGGCTTCCTTTATATATGAGCACATTTTCAGGGGATAAGGAAATTATATGATTTTCATCCTTTAAAAAAACCGGCGCAAACTGATGATATGTCCTAAATGGCTAATAACCAGAATTCCAATTAGTTCAACAGTTGATATAAAGTTAAAAATCTCTCTTAATCCTGTGGTAACTTCTAAATTATTTATATGCTTCATTCCACATGGTTCTTAGAACTATGCTCTTTTGGTTTTTTTTACTTTTGGGAGAGTCAAATGACACAAAAAAGTACTGTAGTGCTCCTGACTTTACAGGAAAAATCAGTAGTCTGAAAAAGACACTTCCCATTCTTTAATAATGTTACAGGAGCCTACTGTTTGTTTGACAGGAAACAGAATATATTGAGATGCATATCTCAACAGCAGAGTTCCATAATGAAAAAAAACTATATCTATGCACTACTTAGGACTTCTGAAATTTGCTAAGAGCATTTTACAAGTACAGTCATTGTCACTACCTTTCCTGTTTTTCATTTGGATGAGGCATCATCTGTCACCACTTAATCATACTTTTTTTAGCTATTAAAAAGGCATGTAATTTTAATTTTTGTGGCTTATTAGTGTGCAAATGCCATTAAAATGGTTTAGTCTAAACTCATGGTCTAAATTCAAATCCCTCTGCTTTTGAGGAGACTGTGAGCACCTTTTAGAAATGTTGCCATCATAACCTAAAAATCAAGATACAAAAGTAAGTAACAACAAATATTATTTAAAGGAATCTACCCAGAGCAGAAATAGGTACACAAATTTTCTAAAGTAATACTGTAAACAAAATACTGAAATATGATAAAACAATATTTAGTCTTCAACTGAGAAAGCTGAAATGACAATTTCATGACCTATCTGAACCTGGTGGACAAAGAATTGTAAATAACTAGAAAAGTGGAATGCATTTAACCTTAACCAGTCCTTTGGAGAATATGTAGTATGTGCACAGTCTCCACTTTTTTATTGATAAACAAATTTATTTAGAGATATGCATTCCTTTAAAAAAATTAAAAAGAAAAACAGAAACAGCAACAAAAAACTTGAGGGTGGTCTAAAATGTCTGTCTTCTTTATGGAACCTTTTGCATTTTGTGTTTAAGAGCTGACATTCCAAATGATTTTCTTTGGCTTTATGCCTGGAGTGAATACTGAGGCAGCAAATTAGGAATGCTTAAGAAGTCTCACAAAGGAAGATGTTTGCTGTGAAAGTGCAGTTAATGTGACACTTGCACTGGAAGCTTCTTAGCCTGCTCAAATGATGGCATGGGTCTAGGTGATGTAAAGGGAGTGAATGAAGACTGGAAGACCATGGACTGAGTATACAAGGTGTTTCTTGTGGCCAATTATCTGCCACTGTGATTATGCTGATACTACCTTTTATTTCTATTTCAGGGGCTAACTTTGTCACTCGAAAAATTAGCCGATCGGTAGCAAAGATTCACCTCGGACAGCTGGACTGTTTCAGCCTGGGCAATCTGGATGCTAAGAGAGACTGGGGTCATGCCAGAGACTATGTTGAGGTAAGCTGTGGGCCTTTTTCTGAATCATCTTCATGGTGGGGATAATGCTTAATGCTGTAACTTCAGGTCATGGTCCATGGAGGGCTATCTTGAGATTTTTTTTTTTGCCTGTTGAGGTCTGTTAACTTTGTCTTGCTCTTGATTTCAGATTAGGGAATTTAGTAACACAGCAGTCTACCCCAGGCATGACCTGAACAGAAAAATAAATCTTTGAGTTTACATTCCTTGCCTGAATTCCTGGGGAAGGGGTCTGACTATAACGTGGATCTATTTTAGAGTATTTCTTCCATTCTTTTGACAAATTTTATGACCAATATTAAGATTGCAGCAAGATGCTTTGTGACCTGAAGTCAAAGATCCTGCTGGAGGTTGGTGACTTTCATTTAATAAGGCAAGAAGGATGTATATATTAATGATCAAAGATCTTTCTGCTTATACATTAGAAAGAAGCATCACAACATCATTGTGATGGCAGGTATTGGAATGCAAGAGCCTGGATTTAGTGTTTGAAATGTTTTTGTAGTCAGGATTTGTTTCTAATTTTATTCTACCCATCTACTTAAGCAGACAAACAAACAATACCCCTGTATTGTATTACAAGGGGACATGAATGAGCATGTAGGAAATATTGTCTTTTCCCCAGGAGATTTTTGTCCCCATTTTGGTGCTTAAAGATTTCCTGTGGTCATTGGACTATTTCTGTCTTTTAATAATTCCTTGCTGGGAAACCGGATTTGACTTCACCATTCATTGATGGAGTTTAAAAAGATGACAACTGTTTGTTTTGTTTTTCTATATTACAAAATAAGAAGTATCACAGTAGGAAGAAGTCTGATTTTTATCATAAATTGAGATTTTAAAGGTAAAGTAAAAGCTAAGCTCTTAAATCTTGTGGTCAAAAAGAAACAGCAAAAAAACAAAATCATAATACCTCAATGTAAACTTATGCTCTGGCAGACATTAAAACAAGTTAACAGCCGTATCGCCTTGGCATCAAAAGGGTTACATTAAAGTAAGCGAAGAAGGTTCTTTTCGGCAGTCAGCTATAAATGAAATTGGCTGTGGTTCTGTGCAGCATTTGTGTGTGAGATGCCAAGGGCACCACGAGTGTCATGACTGTGCCTTTATTGTTCTATATTTGTGGCTACAATATTAGCTGAAGCAGTGAGCCAGCCCTATCATATTATTAATGCATAAAACTATAATTAAGAGTGTTCATAAAATCAGTTACCCAGTCTCAACTGAAAGGAAGTAAAAGATGCCAAATAAAATGATCAGTTGCATGAACATAATGAATATAATTTGCATTGGACATTTCATAAAGACTCTGGCTGTCTCATTTCAAGACAAATTATGTTAAGTCATAAATCATGGGATGAATCCTAATGTCTTGTTCCATAAGGGAAATGCAGAATAACGCTCTTGTGCCTTCTGTGTCAGATCCTTGACCTGTGTTCACAGTAACACAGAATGGGTAACACTGGAAGGGACCACAGACGGTTATCTAGTTCAACCTCATTGCTCAGGCAGGATTATCCTAGAGCATATCCTAGAATTGTGTCCAGACAGTTCTTGAATATCTCCAGTGAGGAAGACTTTACAACCTCTCTGGGCAATCTGTTGCAGTGCGTGGTCACCCGCACAGTGAAGAAGTTATTCCTCAAATTCAGGTGGAACTTCCTGTGCAGCAGTTTCTGCTCTTTACATCTTGTCTTATTGCTTGGCACCACAGAGAAGAACCTGGGCCCAACCCCTTGACACCCTCCCATCAGATACTTATATACAGTGATGACATACATCCCTTCTCAGTCATCTCTTCTTGAGGCTGAACAGGCCCAGCTCCCTCAGCCTATCTATTCTATCATTCAAACTTTTAAAATCAAAAAGGAAATGAGAACAAGTCTATTGAGAAGAATGACTAGCTTTCAAGGCCTTTGGCCTCCAGAAGGAATATAGTTGTCTGAGGTCTATGGCACGAACACATGTTTTTTGTGCAAGTAGCATTCCAGACCTTTCAGCTACACATTTTGGGCCTGTCCCAAAATCTTCTGGAAAGAATTCCTCTCTAAAATATAGTTCATCTTGAGTATTTCTCATCCTGGAGAGGTACCCCTTCAGATAATGGGAGAATTATTATCAATTCTCTAATTCCCTGAGTATTGTGGAAATGTGGTTACAGGCAGCCTTCTAATGGCTAAAAAATAAGAGTAACTTTAAACTGGAAATAAACAATTATTTGAGGCTTTAATGGACTGGAAAGTAGGGCTTAGAGATTTAACATTGTTCAAATAAATACATAGTGTGTTAGAAAGCATGATCATATTTACAAGCATTTGGGGAGCTTCCTTAAGCATATGGCTGAACACATAGGGATATATCTTATCCTCTCCATATGTAGTTTTAAATCCCATCAATATTAATACAAGTAACATATGTGCATATAGACCAGGCCATGTACTGTGTTTTCTTTCTTCTTATTTCTTTATTAGGGATAATAATAAAACCATAAATACATTCCTTTTTGTTGTTTTATAAAATATTATGGGTCAATTCCTGATCTCATGAAAGTTGATGAGCAGATTCCCATTGACTTTGTGGAGAGACCGTATCCTGTATGTGTTCAACTTGAAAATGTCTAGTGGTTGCAAAGCCTGGTATGATTTTGGGCAAACTCCTTTGCGTACAGTGAAGTAGGGAAGAGTGTGCCTGCACTGAAGCAGTATGTGCCCACCAAGTGACGGGTTGAGGCTAGCTTTAGTAGTAACAGATGATTCAGAAATCTGAGGTTCAAACATAAGTTCATATCAGTGGAGAATAGCTGGAATATGTGTTTGATTAGGCTTTTGTTCTGGAACTTGAACTGCCACCTGCAGGCACAAGGTACAGCAACATTGTGCTGGTGAATGCTGGTTTCACTTCCTGGTGAAAACCGGGAAGTCCAACTTGTTAAAAAGGATTCCATTCAGTGTTTGAACAGAACAGAATAGAAATAAGTGGGCATTGAAAATTTTTGGTGTGGGACTATCAATTTTAATCTATAATTACAGTGGTAACTCTTAACATGTTGGCAGAAATTGCTGCTTCTGCTTTCTAACTCTTTCCTAATTTTTACTCTGCTGTGGTCCAGCACAATTCTCATGAGATGATATTAGAGATAAGGATCAATGCCACTGAGTTGGAAGAGGAAAAACAATATATCAGGGCTGTTGACATATGAATCTTCTGTGTACTATTTTGCTTTCTGAGGGTAATGTACATTTCATTTGTTGCAGACGATCTGCAAGGTATTTTCAATTATTAGTTCAATAGCAAGCCTCAAGAGTCTGTCCCATTTCTATGCATTTATAAAACAGAACTCATCATACAAATATCCTCAGAAATCATACAAATTTTCTTCACCCAAGAGTCTTATTTCAAATAAATATAGATCTTAAAAATATTTAACTTGGACCATTAAAAAATGCCCATCAGTCACAGAATCACAGAATCAATTAAGTTGGGAAAGACCTCTGAGATCATCCAGTCCAACCTGTGAACTAACAACACCATGTCAACTAGACCATGGCAGTAAAGCGTCATGTCCAGTCTTCCCTTAAATACCTCCAAGAATGGTGACTACACCACCTCTCTGGGCATCTCATTCCAGGATCTAATCACCCTTTATCATGAAGAAATTCTTCCTAATATCCAACTAAACCTTCCATGGTGCAGCTAAAGACTATGTCACTAGTTGCCTGGAAGAAGAGGCTGACCCCCACCTGTCTACCACCTCCTTGTTGGCTTCCCTGAGGTCTCCCCTGAGCCTCCTCTTCTCCAGGCTAAACAACTCCAGCTCCCTCAGCCGCTTCTCATAAGACTTGTGCTGCAGACCCTTCACGGGCTTTGTTGCCCTTCTCTGGAACCACTTCAGCACCTCAATGTCCTTCCTGAACTGAGGGACCCAGAGCTTGGCACAATACTCAAGGTGTGGCCTCACCAGCGCTGAGTACAGGGGAAGGATCACTTCCCTGCTCCTGCTGGCCACAGTGTTCCTGATACAGGCCAGGATGCCACTGGCCTTCTTGGCCACCTGGGTACACTGCTGGCTCATGTTCAGCCGACTTTCGACTAGCACCCCCAAGTCCTTTTCCTCTGGGCCAGTTTCCAGCCACTCTACCCCCAGCCTGTAGAACTGCATGGGGTTACTTTGGCTGAAGTGTAGGAATCAGCACTTGGGTTTTGTTGAGCCTCATAGCGTTGGTCTCAGCCCATTGATCCAGCCTCTTCAGGTACCTCTGCAGAGCCCTCCTACCCTGAGGAAAAAGTTCATAAGCTGAGAATTTTTCTTCCTTTCCTTCAATTTCCTCTTTATCACCCACTGATGATCAGTCTGCCTTCTGCAGTTATGCTGCCTACACCTCAATGTTGTGCAGACAGCAGAAATACTGCACTGATAAATGCTAGAAAAGCCCACCAATATATGTCTTACAAAACTAAAAGAACTAGTGAAAGGTAACAATTTTAATAATCTTTAGTACAGATCAGAAATATTCAATAGAATATTTCAATGCCTTCAATAGAAATCCAGCAGTATTCAAGCAATAATTACAGAGGACTCATAATTTGGTCATAATTGGCTCCAATTCAATTAATTACATGTCTGGTCAAATGTTTAGAATTAAGTATGTGCCTACATTCATGGTGAAATCAGGGTGCATTTGATATTCTGAATGTATGGGAATCAGCTTCCATTAATTTATATTTAAATAATGTAAAAGAAAACAATCAAACCGAAAGAGAATAGTTTATAAATAAGTAATATAGTAAGTTATTGTAGAAGCCAAACAAGAATATTAAGAAACTGCTTGAAGAGACACTTTCCATCTTACTCTTTTTTTTTTTTTTTTTTAAATTGGTACTGGTGCTAATTCACACTTTACTCTGCAATTAAAACGCATAAGAAAATTCACAGTCATTTTTATTATCTTAAACAATTTTGTGCCCCTTGAAATTGAGATAGT